GTTCCCTGGGCGCACCGCTTCCTCCTTCCGGGGACCGCACAGCAGCGTGCGCCCCAGACGCCGCCCTCTCGGGCCCTCCCGCGTCCCGGCCGCTCCTCCTTGCGCCCGGTTGCTTGCGATGACGAAGGGGAAGCCCGACTGTGCGCCCCCGCTCCTAGGTGCGCCCCCAGCATTTGCGCATGCCGCCGCGGGTCCCCGCTCTACTTGGAAGCGAGGGCCCTCTCCACTGACGCCTCCTCCGCTCTGGTTTCTTATGCCCTGCCTGACCTGATTATTGTTCTGGCCAGGCCAAACGGGTTGCCGGATCCCCAGCCCCACTCGAACCCCATCGGAGCGGGCTGCAGGTGGGGGGAGGCAGGCAAAGATATCCACCCAGCCGCCCAGGTCACTCAGGCCAATGGGACAGCTCTCCCTTCCTGGCCCAAACCGGAAAGGCTTAGCACTCCCTCATTCCAGCACGTTCACTCTCCCCAGGCTTGCATTTTTAAGTCTTTTAACTCTAAAATGGAAGACTTTTTGTGCATTTAAAGAAATTTCGGGAATTCCGTTGGTGTTATCATTTTTCCTGTCTGCAGGGTCCCTCCCACTTTATTTCCTTTTATCTCTAACCCCACTGTCATCTGCCTGCCCCCTAGAGTTGTCCATTCCATTCTGTTTATCTTTCACTTTTATGTGTTCTTGCCCCCAAAAAGGGTCTTGTTTTGCTGGCATGCATTTTAACTTTGTGTGAAAGGAATTGTATTGTTTCTCATTCAGCTTCTTTTCACTCAATGCTAAGATTTTAAGATCGATGCCTGTTGCTTCTACCCCATCTAACTGCTGCCTCCTCTGGATGCTGCTCATCTGCCCTGGTTTACCCTTCCTTTACCTACCCCGCCCCCACCAATAACTGCCATAACCATCCTCCAGCACATCCCCTTCTGCAGCACTTTTCCAATGTTGGTGTGCACACGTGTCACCCGGGAATCTTGTTAGAAGGCAGCCCTGATCCAGCTGGTCTGGGTGGGGCCTGAGACTGCATTCCTAACCAGCTCCCAGGTGATGCCTACACTGCTGTTCCCAGGGCCACATTTCCACGAGGAGCAAGGCCCTTATGGATGTCTGCAAGAATTCATTTTGGGTTACTGAGTCATAGGGCATGTGTTCATCTAATTTGATGAGTACTGCCCATCTGCTGTCCAGCCCGGCTGCACCACCTTACCCCACACTAGCAGGGCAGGAGGGCGAAAGGTATATATTTATGTGGGAAAGAGGAAAGCCTTTTCCTTGCTCCTGCCTGCATCCTGTCCACCATGCATCAGGTCTGGGCCCAAACCCCCTCTCTCCCTTAACTGAATGGACCCAAGGCTCCAGAGCCAGCAGTGCATGGCCAAGTCAGCGATGGGTCCAGGCCAAGCCCCCCGATCTCCATCCACACCATGGAGGACCCTGAATCTTCAGCTTACCACACATCTGGACTTCTCTGACTCATAACTTCCCCAGGCCTGGGCTTTATCCCTGACAGGAGCTCTTGAGAACCCAGGGGGTCTTCAGTTAGGCTGTTTGTGTTCCCTTTAGCCCCTTCGCTTTCCCTTGAGTAGCCTGTTAGGGCACAGTGCGACTCAGATGGCCTGGCCTAGTCCCTGGCTCATGTCTGTCCTAAGTCTGACTTCTCATCTCTAAAACTGAATAGTCAGGGCATAGCTGTAATTTGTGGTACTAGGAGTTGGTCCACATCCTTCACCCTCATGCCAGGAGCCCCACAGAAGCCCTAAGACAGGTGTTCTTGCCTTCGTCTTACCCATGAGGAAAGTGAAATTCAGGAAGGTTTAGCAATTTCCACCAAGGCCATGGAGCTAGAAATGACAGTGCTGGGATTCAAGCCCAGCCTCAGCTCATACCCCAAAGCCCATGCTAACCACAGGCATGTCATCTCCATGTCTTCCCTGGTAGCCCTTGCTACCAGGCCATATTGTAGGGAGAACTACAAAGAAACAGAAAAGAAGGACTGGTCCCAGAGTCTGAATATTTAGGAGGCAGGAAAGAGGACCTTGGGGCTAGCACTTCAGGAGCAGGGATTTTAGGGTTAGATATAGAGTAGGGATCAGGACTACGCAAGAGTTGAGGATGGTCAGGGATTGGGTGGTGGTCAGGTGGGTGGGTCTCGGCTATAAAGTTGTCTATTACGTACCTTACTTGGTAATAACTCATCACTCAATGTTTCATTTGGAGGGGTCAGCAGGTGTGCAAATAGCTAGCATCCAGGGCATAGGGGACGCCACCTTCCAAGGTCCTTCTAAGGCTGTAACCAGCTTGCTGGGGCAGGTTTGGAAACCCTGTGGCTATGCTTTCCCCACTTGCACAGCTGTGCAAGCATTTCCTGGCACCAAGCCCCAGGCCCAAGCATTTCACAATCAGAAGAGTTCAACATCTGCACATTTTGAGATTTCATGGCACACAGCCTCTGACATCTTGTCCACACCCATCCAACCTCTGTTTCCCATTTTAGGGCCAAAATTCTATCCAAGACAGAGCATTTCTCTGAAAGCCTAGGGAGGCTGTCTGCTCTTTCAACAGCCTTCAGGGTCAAAAAAATCTTTTGAGCCGACAGATTCTCCTTGGAGCTCAAAACAACATCTTACAGCATTTTGTTCTTTACAAAGTGCTTCACAAATAGATATTGCCTTTGACTCATAATAACCCCATGACAAGGTTGGGACCCACTTAACACTGAGGTTCCAAAGGATTAACTGGCCAAGGCCACACATTGCATAGGTGGATGAAATGGGACTTGTTCGTTTTTACATAGCAGATCTTGGGACTCTTAAAGAGTGAGTAAGAGTCAGGCGCGGTGGCTCACGCCTGTAATCCTAGCACTCTGGGAGGCCGAGGTGGGTGGATCGCTCAAGGTCAGGAGTTTGAAACCAGCCTGAGCAAGAGGGAGACCCCCGTCTCTACTATAAATAGAAAGAAATTAATTAGCCAACTAATATATATAGAAAAAAATTAGCCGGGCATGGTGGCGCATGCCTGTAGTCCCAGCTACTCGGGAGGCTGAGGCAGGAGGATTGCTTGAGCCCAGGAGTTTGAGGTTGCTGTGAGCTAGGCTGACGCCATGGCACTCACTCTATCCTGGGCCACAAAGTGAGACTCTGTCTCAAAAAAAAAAAGAGTGAGTAGGTACTATCTGGGAAACTCACTATCCTAGTCAGCCCATTTCTCAGACTTGGGGATGTGGACTGAGGCAGGAGGTAGGAAGTCTAGTGGGGGGATGCCCGGACTGACATGTTTAGGAGGTGACTGAGGTCTCATGGGCTCCGGCAAGCCTTCCCCCAGCCAGGTTTCTGTCATCGGGGCCTTTCCTAGAGCCTGGGCTTCTCCTGGAAGTGGAAAGAGGGAGTTGGTGGGAGAAATGGCAAGTCCAGCGGTACCCAGGTAGAAGTTCTCAGTGAGTCTGAAGCTAAGATAGCTGAGAAGCTTCAAGAAAAAGATGCTGCCCGTTGCAGAGGGGGCAGCAGTGTTGTCATCACATCCACATGGGTACTCTCAATGGCTTGGCCAAGCTCTGCCCCTGGCTAAGCCATCTGTCCTGTCCCTCCTTCTCAAAGTCCCCTGGTGCCTCACACCAGGCACCTGCAGCATCCCTTGAGGAAATGCCCAGGGGCCAGGCCAGTCTACCTGCCGGTTCCAGCAACAGCACACATGCCCTGACCCGTGCTAGGAACTGCGAGTCTGGGGCCTGCTAAAGCAGGAGGCCCTGGTCCCGCTGTCCTCCCTCTCCCCCGGGGCCTCAGGCCCTAGGCCAGGGCTCAACAGACACAGGCAGTGGGATGGGGTTGCCCTTCTATTGGTCCAAGTCCTGAGCATAGCCTGGGTGAGTCATGGAGGTGAGGAGGCCCACGAGACTCAGCAGTGTGGAGAAAAGCAGCAGGAAGGAGGCTGTGAAGAGGAGTGCAGGCAGGGCGCTGAGCACCAGCAGCAGGACAGCCGGCAGCAGGTGGCGCCACGCCGCGGCCACCACGAACCACAAGGAGCTCAGCAGGTGGGAGCCGGTGGTGAAGAGCGCGTGGCACAGCATCAGCGCCAGCACCAGGTAGAGTATCCCCTCCAGACCCCACAGCACACGCTGCAGAGGCTGCTGCCAGCCCGATGTGCTCCACCACTGGACCCAGCTCGGGGGCACATGGCACGTCCACCAGCGCACCCAGCCCTGCCGCGTGATCCAGGCTGACCAGGGCGCCGCCGGCTGTGGCCCCTCGCCGGCCCCGATGGTATCCGTCTCCACTCGCGGCTGCTGCATCTCGGCTGGTGCACCTGGGGAGAGGGCCAGGCCAGCTGCAGGAGCAGCCCTGGAGATGCCTGGGACCCCAGGGCAGGTGGGGGTGCAGGGGTCAGGAGGGCACCAGCATGGGTGGGTTGGAGCTGAGAGCTAGGGCCTGGGACTTACCTCTGGGCCGAGTCACCTAAGTCATGTTGTTTCCTGCAGTGCTCAAGGATGGCCTGGCAGCCCCATCCAAGCCCTCACTCTCACCTACCCCCACCCTCCCCAGGGGAGCCCCTTTGTGACCCGGGCTGGGTGGGGTCTTACCAAGAGAGAAGCCACTGCAGCGTGTGAGGCTCACCCGAGTCCTTCTGCATGGACCCTCCAGCCTGGCAGGGGAGCCTGGTGAGCCCTGCACATACAGCTTCTCGTGCTTTCTGTGGGAGCCCTCCCTGGATCCCCGAACCTTCCCTGCTGACTGATATCCATCCCCACCCCACTCTCTTGTGAGTCTTTCTCTCTAGACCCTCATATTCTACCACGGAGGAGGCCAGAATGGCTGCCCCCAACCCCGGGCTCTGAGATGGCTAGGTCCTGCCCTGGGATCCCTGTCTCATATCCTGCATTCTCGTGCTGCCGCAAGACTCAGACCTAGGTATCCACTGCCATATTAAGAGGCCAGGAGGCCCCTGAGGTTTAGGCTGGGAATAAAGGGGTAACCTCCCACCTGCCTAGCCAGGATGGAGGAAAGGAGTCCTGAGGAAGAAGATGACCAATGTATTTTTGGAGGGCACACAGTGTTTTTGGAAGGGCACTCAGGCCCAAGGATGCAGGCAGAAAGCCAGACCAAGCAGGGCTGCGGGCATGCCGCGGGCTCCCAGGAGCAGCCCCAGTCCCATGAGCAGCAGTAGCAGTGCATCCCGGAGTCTGAGTCCTCCAGTGACTGTCCCCGCTGGTGGGAGGACAGCCTCCTGCTGTCCCGGACCCTCGCCGGCCCCCTGACTCTGGCCCCTTGTGAGAAGTCTATGCGGTGGCAGGGTGGGACCTGCGGGCCTGTGGAGAGACAGGGTGGCAGCCGGACTTAGGGAAGTAGACCACTTGGCCACCTGCCTGCTACACCCAGCTGCCAGGCTGCCACCCACTTACCTGTGGAGGAGGTCAAAGGCGAGGAAGCTGACCAGTAGCAGCAGCAGCAGCAGGGTTGGACCAGCCATGGAAAAGACTGCCCGAATCGTCAGCCCGAGTGCCCCCAGCCCTAGGACGCTGTCCAGGAGCTGGGCCCGGCTAGGGTCACAGGGGGACACACGTGGATGCAATGGACTACCCGACCCCTCCCCAGCACCCAGGCCCCTAGGAGGAACTGGCATCGGATCTGCAAGGGCTCTGGGCCTGGGTAAGAGGAGGCGGGTCATGGAGGGAGGCGGAGGCGATAAGAAGAGCAATGCTAGAAGGAGTATGGAGGTGGGAGTGTGGGAGGTGGGTGGCACCCTGGCAGACACTCAAGGTTGAGCTCAGAGAGTGGGGAGTTGGACTCCTTGGGAATGTCCCCTTCCCCACATACCCACCCACCAAACCCTCCTCACCTCCTCCCACCTTGGTGAGCCATTCTGGGCCTGGGCAGCTGGGGCATTGTGACCTGTTGCCAGGTGGGGCCCTGGGGAATGGAGGGGAACTGCTGCTGGTCTGGCCCCATAAGCAGCTGGTGGCCTAGGTGGGGCTTAGCCAGAAAGTGAAGAATTTCTGAGAACTAAGACTCACCCTCCTGCCTTTGCTAATTCTCCGCCCAAGGGCCCTCCCGTGGGGATCTGAGTTGTCAGGAAGGCATTTGAACCCCATTACTACTTGGGCATCTGCCAAGGAAGGAAAGGCTTCTTTCTTCTTCCTGTGAGTCCCAGAGATGCGTGTCCAGCGGCAAGTCATTCAATATCTCTGTCCCCAGTTCTCTTCCCCAAGAGTGGGGTGATGCCTGTGGGACCTTAGTGGGGAGTTTTCAGGCCTGCAGTCCTGGAATGTGGAGACAGGCTCTGCCACAGAGCCACCTGAGGCTTTGTGAGGCTGGGCTGCCATGTGACTGCTAAATGGAGGTGGGGCAGGAGGGGGATGTTTAGGAGCTCTAAGCACTACAGTGTGTGGGAGGTGTTACAGATTCTGGGGTTCCAGAAATGGGGCAGACCCCATATTGGAGGTTAAGGTTGCCCTCTGGGGAATCAGGCATGGTGTGGCGCACCTGTAATCCCAGCTACTTGGGAGGCTGAGGCAGGAGGATCGCTTGAGCCCAGGAGTTCAAGGCTGCAGTGAGCTAAGATCACATCACTGCACTCCAGCCTGAGAGACAGACGGAGACCCTGTTTCAAAAAAAAAAAAAAAAAAAAATAGTTACTCTCCAAGAATGAAATTAGAGAGGAAAATGAACATGTAATGAAGGGATTGGTCACCTGGAAAAGAAACCTGTCCCTCTGATAACGTGTAAATGGGTGATGGCTACAGAGGTTCTAGCACATCTCAGGTTAGCGACTTGGGAGAGGCAAAAGTGGAAATGTGTCATAACTAAAAGAACTTAATCATCCTCATTTCACACTTTTAAGGAAAACTTAAGGGGGGGGGTGACAATAGGGGAAGCAGTGGCCCTATGGCCCCTAGGAGAAGAGGAACTAGAACAAGAGTCAGGCTGTATATTTGCCCCTAGGAGGCCCTGCCCAAAGACTCAAGCCTGGTGGCCTTGGCATCTTCGGGGGTGATGGGCTTGGCAGTGCATAGAGCCATTGTCACTGGCCCTTGGGATCATCCACTGACTTCCCTTGCTCTGGCTCTTGTCGCTTATTTAGCAACTGGGTTTTAAGTGTAGATTTGTCCATAAAGGGACAGGGTATAACAGAAGATCCCAGCATTTTGTTTTTTTGGTTTTTTGCATTATTTCTAGTTGTTTTGGGAAATGAGCAAATTAGCATTAAGGTTTAAGATTGCCAATCCCCTGAGCCTGATCGATTCTGGATACATCCACAAGATTGCATTCCTGGACATGCAAACCTGAGTGTCACATCCTGATGACCCCATCAAGATAAGGCTACTCTATATTGCAGGGCAACGGGGGCGGGGGGTTGACTAAAGCTCCTTAAGGGTTCACCATGCACCAGGTGCTCTGCATACATTTATAAGTGAGTTCTATTTGTGACTTCCTCGGAGTTTATTTTTTATTCAGCAATTATTCATTATTTCTTGTGTGCCACACACTGTGCCAGATGCCGGGTCATAATTCCTAAAAGCAGAGCCTGAGATGGGGGTTCTCATGCACACGACTTATGGAGGGAGTGCTCTCAGGAGGAAAACGTTTGGGGCAGTGAGGGAAGGGAAGCAGGACAGGGCAGGGAAAAGAGCTAAGCTAGGGTATGGTCCTAGCTGGAGTCTAGGTCTGGAAGGTGAACTGTCCCATAGAGTTTGTCCCATCAGGTACCCCTGTGTCAGTCATTGGCTGTGGCTCCTGCATGGGGGTTGGGAACTCGGGGGGAAGGTGGTGGCTAAGAAGTGTAACCTTCTGGGTGAGGCAGCTCCTATCAGCTGAGGACATTAGAAGAGAGCAGACAGCTGTGACCTAGGAGCATTGAAAACTTACAATAGCAGGGGTGGGGGCACCAGTCAGTGAAGAGGGTATCAATAGGGCATCAACAGCATACACCGCAGTGAAGGATCAACTCAGCACATCTGGGCTGTCAAAACCCTGCACATTTGAAAGAATGGTTTGGCTTTTGCTGGGCTCCTGGGAAGTAATCCCTCTAAGTCCTTAAAATATCCTGCCTAATAAAAACTTCTTTGTTTACCTGGGAGCCTGGGGCCACATCAGATAGTGATGTGATTTCCACTGGGGGCTTTGGACCTTGACCTCTAGAGGGGCTGAACTAAGGTATCCATATGAGCAGTCAAACAAAGAGACTGACCCCCGATAAAAACCAGTGGGCTCCCTTGTTAGCAATATTCTGTCATGTATCACGCTGGGAGAATTAAGTACTGTCCACATGACTCCACTTCCAGAGGACAACTGGAAGCTTGTGTATCTCCTAGATCCTGCTTTGTGCACCTTTTCCCATTGCTGGTTTTAATCTGTATCCTTTCTCTGTAATAAACTCTAACCGTGAGTATAAGCACTTTGTTGAGTTCTGTGAGTCCGTCTTGTGAATCATTGAACCTGACGGTGGTCTTGGGCACCCTGAAGAGAATTGGTTTCAGAAGTCGCATTCACTAGCCCAGTGAATCTGAAACATGGTGAGAAAAGGAAGTCATCCCTGAGAGGGCGGGGGCTGTCAAGCCTTTGATTTCTGGAATTGCAGCTGTGCAAAACACCTATAGTCCTAGCTACTTGAGAGGTTGAGGTGGGAGGATTGCTTGAGCCCAGGAGTTTGAGGCTGCAGTGAGCTATGATTGCACCACTGCACTCCAGCCTGGGCAACAGAGCAAGACCGTGTCTAAAATGAAAAGAAAAGAAAAAAGGCTAACATCAAGACACATGATGAAATTGAAATTGCCAGGGATAAAAAGATACTCCCAAGAGCTTCCCCAAAAGAAAAAGATCACACACATAGGACCAGAAGTCAGAATGGTATCAGACTTTTAAACGCTGACACTGGTAACTAGAAGAAAATAAGGAAATGCCTCCAAATTCTGAGGGGAAATGGTTTCCAACCTACAAACGTATGTCTAAATGATTGTTAAGTATGAGGGTGGAATAATGACATTTTCAACCATACTAGGTCTCAAAAATTTGACCTTGTGGCCAGGGCCAGTGGCCCACGTCTGTAATCCTAGCACTCTGGGAGGCTGAGGCGGGAGGATCACTTGAGTTTAGGAGTTTGAGACCAGACTGAGCAAGAGCAAGACCCTGTTTCTACTAACAATAGAAAAAATTAACCAAGCATGGTGGCATGTGCCTGTAGTCCCAGCTACTTGGGAGGCTGAGGCAGGAGGATCACTTGAGCCCAGAAGGTTGAGGTTGCTGTGAGCTAGACTGATACCATGGTACTCTAGCCTGGGCAACACAATGAGACTCTGTCTCAAGAAAAAAAAAATGACCGTGCCCATATCCTTTCTTAGGAAGCTCCTGGAGGATGTGCTTCGAGGACGACACAGCATTCAATAGATGAGACTAAACGTAGGAAAGGAATGATGAGAAAGTCCTGGGATGTCAGCTGTGCCCCCAGGTGAAGAAAGTAGCCAACCCAGCATGGAATCAGAAAACTGCTCCAGGAGGGATGTCTCTAGAGGAAAATGAAATCGATTGATCCTTGGCTGTGTTTAGATATATTCAGAGTAAATAGTTCTGTTGGAAACTTTCAGATTGAATTAGCAATCGGTGCCCAGAAAACCAAGTAAATGGTAAAACAAAGTAGTTACTAACTCCAGGGAGCACAAAAAGTTAAACAGTAATATTTACATGGTCATAATAAAAGCACCAAATAGTGACTCCAAGTGGTGAAACAGCTTTATTGGGAGGATGGAAGGAGGGAAAGTGTATGTTTGTGTTACCTGGACGTGTGTGTGTGTATGTGTGTGTGTGTGTGTGGGAGGGTGGTAGGAAAGCTAAATCCTTAATTCCATGGCCAGAAATCCATACATAAGATCTAAACATAGAAAAATCAAGAAATAGTAATAAAGACGTGGAGAGAAATACAGGAGAAATAACAAAAAGAATTAAAAGTAGTTGACTTGGGAATGGAATGGCATAAGGTAGGGTCTTCTACTATAAGGCTAAATGTGTAGTATTTTGATGAAAATGGATTTAGTTACAAAAAGCAAATTGATATAGGATCGTGCTGTGAAAATCAGGAATATACCCTCCCAGGAGGACTGAAAAAACCTATTTCCTAATGTTATCTGGATATACTCTTCTGGCTTGAGATAAAAATGACCAGTGACAGCATCAAACATTATCAAACTCTGAAAGTTGTGAATCATGCCTTTTAGATGGAGGTGCTCTAACCCTCCCCTTGTGCTTCTCAGCCTTTCATGTGCATATGAATCTCCTGGGGTTGACTCCTCCGGGGATCTTGTTAAAATGCCGATTCTGATCGAATAGGTCCAGAGCAGAGTTTCTGCATTTCTAACAAGTTCCTGGGGGATGCAAATCTGCCCGTCTTCAACCAAGAACAAGGCTGTCAAAGACATTGATGTACAAAAGAGGGAACGCTGGGGGAGACAGTGGTGAGGAGAGGCTGGACACGTGCCATCTACTGACTTCCCGTCAATGCTCACCTACATCACAGGAAGAGCACCTAGCAAGGAATGAGTCCTGTCTTTACACCGGGTACAGGATATTAGGGCACAGGCAGACAGCAGATCCCACCTCTTCATTATGTGTGCAGCTGGACACATAGCCTCCTTTCTTTTCCTTGATAGTGTTTTAGTCCACCTATGTATGTGGGAGGAAGAGAGATGTGTTAAGCTGTTTTCCCCACCTTTAATTCATCTGATTAATCCAGGGCCCTCCTGGAACCACATATTATCTCACTTCATCATCACAGCAAACTTGGGAGAAGATATGGTGCCCCCCCCTTTTCTTTCTTTCTTTTTTTTTTTTTAAGAGGGGGTCTCACTATATCACCCAAGCTGGTCTCAAACTTCTGGGCTCAAGTGATCCTCCCACCTCAACCTCCTGAATAGCTGGGACTACAGGTGTAAGCCACTGTACTCAGCTTATAAATAGCAGAAGTAGGATGTGAAATGAAGTCTGTATGTCACCAAAGTCATCTATCCTCTTCATTTGCACCTGATCACATCCAGGAGCTGGCAAGAGATCCCCAGCCCATCCCTTAAACTAAAATCCCCTTTGGGCAGATGCCACCACGCAGTCCTGCTCAGTTGCGCTTTGCAACACACACTCATCCCAGTTAGACCATGCAAGATCTACATGGCTCCTGGCTGTAGAGTTCTGGCTGTGCAGGTACTTGGGTGCATACCTGCCACTGTGCCCCTGGAGCCACCATCTGCAGATCCTGCTTTGGAGTTTTGAGCTTTTGTGGCCCCAGGAACCCAGTGGCAAGGGCCAGAGGTGGCAGCTGGGCTGGGAGTGCAGAGGGCATAAGAAGGTGCTGAGGGACTCACGGAGAGGCAAGAAGGGGCTCTAAAGAGTTACAACAGGGCAGAGAGGAAAGGGTTGTAGAGTGGTGGGAAGGGGAAGAGGGGGCACAGGGGACAGAAGAGGTCTGAGCAGCCTGCAGATGTGGCCCCTAACAGATTGGTGGGAGGGAGTCAGCTGCCCTACCCCAGTCCCTTTGGGAGTGGCTCTTTCAGGTCATGACTGCCATTTTCTGCAGACCTCATGCGGCAGTGCTTGGTCCCCTCTAGCCTTTAATACATTGCACACATACTTTAAGGGTGCTGACTAGGGACCAGGTGCTGTTCTAGGTCCTGAGGTGCAGCTGTGAACATCTGGGTGCAAAGGCTCTTCTGAAGGGGTACTTACCTCCTGCTGGTTGGGGGGCCACTGAACAGTGAACACATAACAAATAAAATGCCTTGAAGACAATAAAAGAGGTGAGAAGATAGTGCACAGGGTGATAGAGCTAGCTAATCAGAGTGGTCAGGGAAAGCCTTTGGGAGCAGGTGACATTGAGATGAAATCTGAATGATGAGAATGCAAACCTGGTGAACAATGGAAAGGGGGAAGGCTAGGTGGGGCTGGTGCCTTGCAGCTAGCAGGCCAGTGTGCCTGTAGGGATGGGAGCCAGGGACAGCCCAGGGACACCTGGTGGGAAAGGTGTGGGTAGGAAGAACTTGGTCATGAAGGGCCTTGCAAGTGAGCCTAGTGGGGACTTGAGCCAGGAGGAACTTGATATTTGGCTGCTGCGTGAAGAACGGCTTAGAGTGGGTGGGAGCCTCTGGAGGCTGAGAGATCCTGTTCCTGGTGCCCCTACACCCCTCCTCCTTTGCACACCCCACTGTGAAACTGCCATGGGGGGGCGGACCAGAGACTGGGAAGTGGCCAGATTGAGCTCTGGCAGGACCTGTTGGGTCCTCGGCCTCCCATCTCCGGAAGGAGGTGCTGCCCATCAGCCCCGCCCCCGCCCCCAGCGACCTACCCACTGTGGAACGTCTCCCTTGAATTTTTCTATGCCCCCCACCCTCCCTCCGGTCTTCCCCTTCGCCGGGTGCCTGGGACCTGGCAGCGCCGTCTACTGGGGGTTGGGGGGCTCCAAGGCAGGATCGGGTTGCGTGGGCCCTGTCCAGTTACTCGCTTTCGGAGGGCTCCGTGTTCGCTATCTGGCGCGACTGGGGTGGATCAGATGCCTCGAGAAGCTCCAGGACTCGTGCCGATGGGTCATCCCTGCTGGTGGTGGGCCTCAGTCCCAGAGGGCAGTCCCAAGGGTTCGTGTCAGGCTGGGCCACCAGAATGGTGCTGACAGGCTGCTTTTGGGTGATTTAAATTGTTTTTACAGATAGTGGTCCAGCAAAAAAATATTTGCTCAGGGCTGGCGCACGCCAGAGGATTCCCGGCTACCTCTGGGCATTGCTTCTTGTGGGGATGGCAGCATCTTCCTGGAGGGCTCCTTGCGAGGCCAAGTGCTGGCCAAAGGCACACAGTTGGACGCGTTTTCTGCCTTTTCGGGAGGAGACGCAGGGCTGGAGCAGCCAAAGGGGGCCTTGGAGGGAGGATGGGAAGGGTCCCGCGCGCTGGCATCTCCGGACTGGGGCAGTCCGCGAATAGAGACCCAGGGCTGCCGGCTCCCATGGGAATAGGGGAGGGGACAAGGAGCTGGGGTGGGGGGAGGAGGACAGGACCCGAGTCAAGCCTCGGCCCTCCCATCCCTGGTCCCGGCCCGCCGGTATCGCTCGGGCTTCTCTGCTCGGGTTATGTAAGCCGGGAACGTGGCAGCCGGGAGAGCAAAGGAGTAGGGGAGGGAAGGGAAAGGAGAGAGGGGAGGCGGGGCCGGTGCTGGGGGAGGTGGTGGGAAGCGCCGTTTCTGGTTGGGCTCCTGGGGTTGTCTTTCAGAAAGATTCCTGGAGGACCAACCCTCTTCCCCCACCCCACTCCCGCCTCAGTTTCCCTTCAGTCCCTCTCACTCCTGTCCCACTCGCCCAGCCAGGGGGGGCCTCTGGCTCTGGATGGATTTCCCTCTAGGAATGTAGTTTCCTTCCAAAAGGTCTCAGCTTTGCTACCTTGGCCGTCGGTTAGCTGCCCTGAGCCTCAGTTTACCAGTTTGTAAAATGAGGTTTGACTGCGAGGCAACGAGTAAAGTGCCTGGCATAGTGACTGGTACAAAGTGGGTGCCCGCTGTGGGATGGGCGCCTCAGTGGTCTAAGTAAACTGTGGCTTTGCGGACTGTAAAGGGCAGCGCGAGTGAGGCTGGTTAGCTCCGGACAGCTGGAGAGGCGGGGGAGGGGAGGGTCCGGAGACCTCTGGCGGCCCCTCGGGGGTCTGCCCCGCTCGCTCCGCCCGCGCCGTCCCCTCTCCTCCGAGGTCGGGGCCGCGAGCGGGCTGTGGGCGGGCCGGAGGCTGCCGAGGGGCGTGGGGCGACTGCGCGGGCGGGCAGGAAGGGGCGGGGGGCTCCGGAGCACCCGGCAGGAAGAGACGAACCCACCGACCGCCGCGGGCCCCGCGCACCCCGGTCTCCCGACTCCCGCCATGTGGGGGCTCCTGCTTGCCTTGGCCGCCCTCGCGCCCGCCGTCGGTCTGGGTCTGGGGGCGCCCGGCGCCTCGGTGCTGGGCCTCGCGCCGCCCGCGACCACCGAGGCCGCGGGCTCGACCCCGGCCCCGCGGAGCAGCCCGGCACAGCCGCCCGCGGAGAGGGCGAACGGTGAGCTCCCCGACAGCTTCTCGGGCAAGTGGGTTGCCCCACTGCCCGCCGCGTGTGGCGACCCCTGCCCAACGCGCGCGCCCACACACATGCACACACATGCACGCGCGCACACACCCGCACACACACATGCACACACACTCACACTCTCCCTGCCCGGAGCAATGGCTGCTGACTCAGCAACCCCGTTCCAGGCCAGACGAGTCAGCACTCCCGGGACAGGCGCCACGGGATGCCGGCTCTTCCAAACTCTTTCATAGATAAGGAAACTGAGGCCAGGGCTGGGAGGAGAGGAGAAAGAAGTGCCAAAGCTCCGAGACTAAAAGGTGCAAAGCAAGACTGTGTAGGAGAGTTTGAGGGCCAGGGAGGAGGAGAAAAGACAAAAGAAGGCGAAGGAGAGAGCTCTTGCTGAAGCGGCCTGGGTGACCTGCTCTGGCTGGCGCCCAGCCGGGGAGGCAGGCTGCCTGACCTCCCAGCTTGGAGATGTGGGAACCGAGAGGCGGAAAGCAAGGGGATGGCATTCAGGGACTTTTAGAGGAGGCAGGCAGAAGTGAGTCTTGAAGGGTGAGTATCCCTGAGTCAGGAAAAGCTGAACAGAGAGGGCAGGCAAGAAGGAAACAGCACGTGCAAAGACACTGAGGCACCAGACATGAAAACGTGCAGCCGGTTCTGAGGCTGCTTTGAAGCTTGGGTAGGCATCGAGCAGCACCTTCTCTGTGCAAAGCCCTGTGCTGAAGGGCAGACAGGCAGGCCAGCCCTGGAAAGGCTTAGCATCCTGGGCAAACATGGATTTGAGGATGGGACATCTCAGGCCAGAGGGCAGATACAACAGTGGAGGTGGCACTGGGCTTTGGGGTATGAGACCCAGTCTGGAGCTAAGGAGGGCTCCTTGAAGGGCATCTGGGCTGAGATGCAAAGGAGGAATGGGAATTAGGAGAAAAAATCAGAGGTAGTGGGTGGCATCACAGCGGAGGGGCCAGCTAGTGCAAGGGCCTGGAGGTAAAGAATGAAACTCAGCTCTTTGGAGCCACCCTACTAGTTCCTGGTGGCGGAATGTAGCCCTCCATTGGGTTCGAGGTCAGAGGTGAGGCTGGCGAAGCACGTGGTCATGTTGGAAAGCAGAAGGAGTCAGGGCAGTGGTGGAGAAGCAGGTCAGGGTTAGACTGCGGGCCTTTAATACCATGCTGAGGCTGCTAGAGACCTGCAGTGGGTCCTGCTGTGGACTCACATGCCTTCTTGGGCTGACAGACCTTTCTAGGGGTTCATGCCATTTTTCCCTCCCCTGGGGCTGTGCCTCCCTGGACCTCAGGGACATCAGAACAGCAGGTCCGGATTCGAGTCATCAAGAAGAAAAAGGTCATTATGAAGAAGCGAAAGAAGCTAACTCACCCTAGTCCCCAGGTGACTGCTAGGCCTCTGGTGACCACCAGCCCAGCAGGGACCCTCAACCTCACTGAGAAACAAGAACCAGGTACTGCCTCTCAGGGCCCTGCCCACGCTCGCAGCCCCCGGGGCAGTTACTGAGGTAGCTCTTGGCCTCATGGGCATGGGCATGCCCCCTGCCTGCCTAGCCCCCACGCAAGCTTAGGCTTAGCTTCCCGCCTGCCTGACTACCCTCCCTCTGGTTCTGCCTCACCACTCTGTGCCTGCCCCAGGCTGTCCCCCTTTGGGCCTGGAGTCCCTGCGAGTTTCAGACTACCAGCTTGAGTCATCCACCAGCCAGTCCTTTGGTCTTGGACCACACCGAGGACGGCTCAACATCCAGGTCAGCAACATTGGCTCAGAGCCCGGGTCCCAGGGGTAGGCAGGGCAACCCCTGGGAGATTCGCCCCTGCCCCCTCCCTGTCCCAGCCTGGGCCTGAGCAGTGTGTCCTGTGCCCACAGTCAGGCCTGGAGGATGGTGATCTGTATGATGGAGCCTGGTGTGCTGAGGAGCAGGACAGCAAGCCGTGGCTTCAGGTGGATGCCAGGCACCCTGTCCGCTTCTCAGGTGTTGTTACGCAGGGCAGGAACTCTGTCTGGAGGTGAGGCAGGCTAGCCCTCGGCTAGGAAGTCATGGGCGGTCACGGGGGGACTGGAATGGAAGTCCTGGGGCACCGATGCTCTCCCCACCTGTCTTATCAGGTACGACTGGGTCACATCATACAAGGTCCAGTTCAGCAATGACAGTCGGACGTGGTGGGGGAGTAAGAACCACAGCAGTGGGATGGACGCCGTGAGTGGTCCCACAGTGGCGGGTGCCCTCTGTGCTGGGAGGGGAGCACCCAGCCCACTGCAGGGTGCTTGGCTAGGCTGAGGCTCCTCTGAGGACAAGGAACAGATGCCCGCTTAGGCATCCTAGGAGAAAGGGGGTTCTTGCCAGGATGGATGGCAACCAGCCTCAGGAGCCAGGCTGCCTTGGGACATACCCACATCCTCCCCAGATAGTGCCACCATGGGTGGGTGCCACTTCATGCTGCAGCTTCCTCTTAGCACACTCCTTATATATACCAGGGTGGGTTAGACAGTGAGCTTGGAGGTCCGAGGCCCTTCCCTAGATCCTGGGCCAGGCTGCTGGGATCTGAGCAGCCCCAGCAAAGGACTTGATGCCCCCAGGTATTCCCTGCCAATTCGGACCCAGAAACCCCAGTGCTGAACCTCCTGCCTGAGCCCCAGGTGGCCCGCTTCATTCGCCTGCTGCCGCAGACCTGGCTCGAAGGAGGCGCACCTTGCCTCCGGGCAGAGATCCTGGCCTGCCCAGTCTCAGGTGGGCAGGCAGGGAAGGGCTGGGTGGCAGGGCCTGGATGCAGGGTGTGTCCTCCACTGTAGCCTCACCCTTTACCATCAACTCACCCTCTGCCAGATCCCAACGACCTATTCCCCGAGGCCTCTGTGCTGGGATCCTCTGACCCTCTGGACTTTCGGCATCACGATTATAAAGCCATGAGGAAGGTCAGATATAACCTCTGTGACCTGGGAAGGAGTCCCGTCTCAGGTCCCCTCCATCTCTTTCCCAGGGCACCACCTGCTGTGACTGCCCTCGTGCCCACCCTCCCTGCTGTCTCAGCCTTCTCCTCGGTTGACCCCTAATCTCTGCCCTAGTCTCCCTGTTGTGGCACCGTGCCTGTCCTGCCCCTTCCTCCCAGGTCTGCCACTGCTCCCCCCGCACCATGCCATGGTGCTCCATCTGTGTGGGGCCACCGCTGACTTTTGTAAGTCCCTCCATGGCCACAAGTGGTCTGGCCGTAGGTGTAACCCTCCCATGTCTCATGTCATGCTACACTCCACCCCCCGCCCCAGCTGATGAAGCAGGTGAATGAGCAGTGCCCCAACATCACCCGCATCTACAGCATCGGGAAGAGCCACAAGGGCCTGAAGCTGTATGTGATGGAAATGTCGGACCACCCTGGGGAGCACGAGCTGGGTACTGGCAGGCGCGGTGGGGAGAGGCAGGCACGGGGCAGGGCCGTGGGTGTGAGCCGGCTCCAAGCCACCGTGTGTTCCCAGGAGAGCCTGAGGTGCGCTACGTGGCTGGCATGCACGGGAACGAGGCCCTGGGGCGGGAGTTGCTTCTGCTCCTGATGCAGTTCCTGTGCCGTGAGTTCCTGCGAGGGGACCCACGCGTGACCCGGCTGCTCACGGAGATGCGCATCCACCTGCTGCCCTCCATGAATCCTGATGGCTATGAGACAGCCTACCGCCGGGTAGGCTGCCTGGCATGAGGGCCCCCTGTCCTTCTGCCCTGATGCCTGGAGCCTGCTTGGCTTGAACCAGCCCCTTCTCTGGCAGGGCTCGGAGCTGGTAGGCTGGGCAGAGGGCCGCTGGACCCACCAGGGCATTGACCTTAACCACAATTTCGCTGACCTCAACACACAACTGTGGGAAGCGGAGGATGATGGGCTGGTGCCCCACACTGTTCCCAACCATCACTTGCCCATGCCCACTTACTACACCCTGCCCAATGCCACTGTGAGTATCCTGGGGACACTGTTAGAGGCCCACCTGGGCGGGGGGCCCTTGTCTCTGTCTCCTGTCCTTCCTGACCTGCACCTGTCCAGGTGGCTCCTGAAACACGGGCAGTGATCCAGTGGATGAAGCGGATCCCTTTTGTACTGAGTGCCAACCTCCACGGGGGTGAGCTTGTGGTGTCCTACCCATTTGACATGACTCGGACCCCGTGGGCTGCCCGAGAACTGACGCCCACCCCGGATGATGCTGTGTTTCGCTGGCTCAGCACCGTCTATGCCGGCACAAATCGGGCCATGCAGGACACAGACCGCCGGCCCTGCCACAACCAGGACTTCTCCTTGCACGGCAACGTCATCAACGGGGCCGACTGGCACACAGTCCCTGGCAGTATGTGCCCAAGGGTGGAGTTAGCCCTGTCCCCATAGCCCCTGTCTGATAAGACCCTCTGCTGTGCAGCACTGCTGTCACTTCCCGTCCTGAAGTATCCCCCAGAGGAGGGCACCAGGAGGGTGGGACTCCATCCTGCCCCCTTAGGCTCCAGTGTCTGTGGTACCCCCTAGGCATGAATGACTTCAGCTACCTACACACCAACTGCTTTGAGGTCACTGTGGAGCTGTCCTGTGACAAATTCCCTCATGAGCACGAGCTGCCCCAGGAATGGGAGAACAACAAAGATGCCCTCCTCACTTACCTGGAACAGGTGGGATCTGATTCCCCCAGCCCCCTGACTGCCTGAGTCACTCCATCTAGGTTGCAGCTCCTACCAGGGGCTCTTCGCAGGTGCAGCCGAACATTCAGACGCACAAGATGCCATGGGCCACACTTGGCATCTCGTTATCTCAGAAGCACATAGGACAGGAAGCATGTTTGTTAGCAGCATGGCATGGGACAATGTTAGGGCCAGTGGGAACAGCCCCCAGTGCAGGCTAGCGGGGTGGGGAACCTGCAGCTTTGGGACCACATGTGGCCTTCTTGGTCCTTGAATGTGGGCTTTTGACCGAATCCAAATTTTACAGAACAAATCCTTTTAATAAAGTGATTTGTTCAGCGAAGTTTGGATTTGGTCGAGGGGCCACACTTGGGCATCTGGAGGGCCAGTGTGGCCTTGAGGACTCAAGTTCCCCACCACTGCCAGCTGTCCCAGAGCTATTCTCAGGACAGCTGTTCTCAGAAAAGACTCACATGTGGCGGGTGCAGAAACGATCCTGGCATAGAAGCTTTGTATCCCGTGTAATGGTTCCATAAGTCTATTAATAGCTTCCAAAGCTTCTGCCAAAGACAAACTCAATAACAAGGGTCTCCAAACTTGGGGAAGCCCAAACATATGCCTTCCTACCAGGTTTTTTTTTTTTTGAGACAGAGTCTCACTCTGTTGCCCGAGCTAGAGTATGGTGGCATCAGCCTAGCTCACAGCAACCTCAAACTCGTGGGTTCAAACGATCCTCCTGCCTCAGCCTCCTAAGTAGCTGGGACTACAGGCATGCGCCACCATGCCCCGCTGATTTTTTCTATATATTTTTAGTTGGTCAATTAATTTCTTTCTATTTATAGTAGAGACAGGGGTCTCACTCTTGCTCAGGCTGGTTTCAAACTCCTGACCTTAAGGGATCCTCCCGCCTCAGCCTCCCAGAATGCTAGGATTATAGGCTTGAGCCACCTCACCTGGCCCCTACCAGCTGTTTATAGTTCTCAGTCCAGATGTAATTTATCCATCGAGATATTCTTAATCATGAGCATTGCCACCTAGGAACACAGCAGACACACCATCTTTGTCAAGTTTGCAGCAGGACAGAGCCAGCAAGTTAGCTGAAAGTCACGTTTTCAGAAGGGAAAGGGTGTTGATAACCTTTTCCCACACAGGTGCGCATGGGCATTGCAGGAGTTGTGCGGGACAAGGACACCGAGCTTGGGATTGCTGATGCTGTCATTTCCGTGGATGGGATTAACCATGATGTCACAACCGGTATGTGTGGTGGGGGCAGGGAGGGGAGCTGGGGCGGCTTGGGCTGGGTGGAAGCCGAGGATCACTGGGTCCTGATCTTGACCTTCACTCTCCTCAGCATGGGGCGGGGATTACTGGAGGCTGCTGACCCCAGGGGACTATATGGTGACCGCCAGTGCCGAGGGCTACCATACAGTGACACGGAGCTGCAGGGTCACCTTTGAAGAGGGCCCCGTACCCTGCAATTTCCTGCTCACCAAGACTCCCAAAGAGAGACTGTGAGAGCTGCTGGCAACCGGGGCCAAGATACCCCCAGACCTTCGGAGACGGCTGGAACGGCTGAGGGGACGGAAGAATTAACGCCTTTCACTGAAGAGCCCCAGAGCCTTGGGCAGGCTGGACCTGCTCCGAACTGAAGGGGAGGCCTAGGGAGGGAGGGACAAAGTGGAGGAAGAGGTGCTCAGGCTCATTAAACTACCTGGCACCTACCTTAGCTGATCTTCCTGTTATCTCTGTGTCCCAGGTCCTCCCCTGGGACAGGCCTCAGTCCACCTCTCTGTCCTAGTTCGGTACACACTTGCACATGCTCATTGGTTGACTTCTGGAGACATCGTGTGGAAAAAAGCAGCCCACTTGGACTCTTGAACCAAGGGCTTGGCAGAGCAGCTCATTTCTGCCTATCAACATCTGCCACAAGTGCCATTACAGTGCTGTCAGATGTTCTGAAGCACCCGCCCAATGCCAAGCATGCAAGGATCCACAGTGCCCGTACCCAACCTGGGCTCCAGTCAAGAGCAGGGACAGCTCAGTCCATCGTGACACCTGCCATAGAGGAGGCCAGGTGCTGTGGGAACACAGACGGGAGTTGCACATGTGCAAAATAGACACTCCAGGTCAGCAGGGACTCACATGGTCAGGGACTCGATAGAGATGATGGCTCTAGGAGTTCAGAGGGGAGGTGGGCCAGGTATGGCGAAGGAACAAGGACAGCTCCAAGAAGGACAGGATCAACTACAGATCAGCTGAGAGCATGTGAATTTGCGTCATCAGCTATTGTCGGAGAGTGTTGGTAGCTGGTAGGCTTTGATCGGGTTTTTTTTCAGACTGAAGGGGGAGTTATGTGTCAGTATCTTGCCAGGTAAACCATCCATTCTAGGTATTCGAAGTGGAGGAAAATTTGATGCTGAAAATTGGATATGAGGGTGTTGGGTGAGCTGAATGAGAAAAAGGGAGAAGGGAATTTTACCCAGCAATCAGGATAACACCCTGAGTCTGGTGTTTATAAGCCTGTATTTGCTGATGTTGGTGTTGGAGCCTGTGACCACCTGTAGCTACCTGTGATCACTCATGGTTACCTGCAATGGCTAGAGCCAGAAACAAAATAATTTCTTTCTCTGACTTGCTCATCTCCAATCTATGACATCCCCTGGCAAAGTCTAACTGTAACCCAGCTGGCAAGGAAGCCTACAAATGGAGGCTCCCAGCTCCCCTGCAATTCAGAGTAGCGATTCCAAGGGCAGGAACGGGGCAAATACTAATAGGCAAAGCCTGGCGTGGTGACGTCATAGAGCCATCTGTTATGTACGTTCTGCCTAGTGCTCGGCTTTTGCGCTGTTTATCGAGGTGTCTCTGTCTCTCCCTCACATCTGCAATCTCAGTTAATCACCACGAGAGATTTAGTGCCACGTTTCCTCGCACCTTTTCTCCACACATCGAACTCCTCTTATATAGCAATTTTTTGAGAAAAGAATTTGTTGTTCACTGAAGTTTAACGTACATGATGAGCCAGGCATGGTGGCTCACACCTGTAATCTGAGCACTATGGAGGCTGAGGCAGGATTAGTTGAGGCCAGGAATTTGAGACCAACCTGGACAACATAGCAAACCCCGACTCTACAAAAAATTTAAAAAAATAGTTGGGTATGGTGGTGTGTGCCTATAGTCCCCCTTCCTCCTTGGGAGGAGGCTGAGGGGGGAAGATCACTTGAGCCCAGGAGTTTGAAGCTGTAGTGAACTATGATCATGCCACTGCATTCCAGCCTGCGTAACAAAGAGAGATCCTACCTCTTAAAATAATTACATAATGAAAAGTGCATATAAGTTCACGGATATTTAAATGTACACAAAGAACATATACAGGTACCCACAACCCAGGTTAAAAAAATACTACCAGCACTCCAGAATCCCTCCCTGTTATACCCTCCCAATAAATACTCCCTACCTGCCAAGGGTAATCAACTGTCATGACATCTAACATCATAGTTTAACTTTGCCTGCTTTTTTTTTTTGATCTAGAGTTCCTTGCTATTGCACTTGAGTTTGGTCTACTTGAGTTTCTTGGATTCTATTTTGGTTTCATTGGATATAACAATAGTTCTTAGTTGTAGATGATAGAATCCACTCTAGATAGATCAAGAATAAAAGGATTAATAAAAGGTCTTGGGAAGCTTACACAATCTCCAGGAGAGATAGAAACCAGGCTTGGATGCTGTATAACTAGAAACATTACAGTGTCAACAAAGGTCAGGGGAATGCCCAACCATGCTATGGGAATATTCTAGAGGAGTCACCACTCTCACCATTGCTTTTTATTTGGCAGTTCATATACTAGGGACAATAGATGCCAGAAAATTGCATATTTGCACCAGAGGAACCATACACCTCCACTACTATAACTGCCAGAAAATGTGATCTTCCTGAATGTGACTTCCACCTCCTTCTACCCATTCTTAGCTCTAAGTCCAGGGCCAGTGTATCTGTTTGGCAGGACCTGGGTTGCACCCTCTATCCGTGATAGAAAAGAATTCTAGAATATTAACTTTTAGCTTTCCAGCCTCTACAGTGCAGGAAATCAAGCCAAAGACAGGTTGAAATGAATGTTAAGTGAGCCAGATTATATTATCTGAAACACTGTAGGGTGTCCATGCGTAGCAGGGACATAGTATTGTTCTACTTTAGGAGATACTGTTTAAAAGGGACCATTTTCCATCAGTGAACCTGTTACCCTAGTAGGACACAAATAATTTTTCAAGTACAAGAGACATCACATAATCAAAAATCTCCAAGCAAGCCGGGCGCGGTGGCTCATGCCTGTAATCCTAGCTCTCTGGGAGGCCGAGGCGGGCGGATTGCTCGAGGTCAGGAGTTCGAAACCAGCCTGAGCAAGAGCGAGACCCCGTCTCTACTATAAATAGAAAGAAATTAATTGGCCAACTAAAAATATATATAGGAAAAAATTAGCCGGGCATGGTGGCGAATGCCTGTAGTCCCAGCTACTTGGGAGGCTGAGGCAGGAGGATTGCTTGAGCCCAGGAGTTTGAGGTTGCTGTGAGCGAGGCTGACGCCATGGCACTCACTGTAGCCTGGGCAGCAAAGCGAGACTCTGTCTCAAAAAAAAAAAAAAAAAAAAAAAAAATCTCCAAGCAAACAAGGAAACAAGGTGGAAATAACAAATAGGAGATCTAGACCTGCAAAGATTTAATACATTTGAAACACCAGATGCAGACTATAAAATAACTATGTTCACATTGTATCAAAATCAAAGTCATACAAGGTGTCTCCTCAACTCAAAAAACATGACCATGGGCTATTTTTAAACTAACCAAACAGAATTTTTATAATTCATATCTTTTTTTGCTAAGTAATATTCCATTATGTAGATGCTCCAGAAGTTGTTCAACCATTCACTCATTAAAGGACATTTCAGTCATTTTCAATATTTTGCTATTATAAATAGAGCTAATATGAACATTCACGAGCAGGTTTTTATGTGAACATAAGTTTTCATTTTTTCGGGATAAATGCCCAAGCGTGTGATTGCTGGATCATATAGTAAGTGTATGTTTAGTTTTGCAAGAAACTGCCAGACTATTTCCAGAGCATCTGTACCACTTATGTTCTCATCAACAACGTATGTGAGATCCAGCTTCTCCACATACTCGTCACCATTTGGTGTTATCATTTCTTGTTATTTTAGCTGTTCATTGCACACCTATTCTAGCCGTTGTAATGGGTGTGGAGTAAAACATCATGGCTTTAGTTTATATTTCCCCAATGGCTAATGATGTTGGACTTACTTTCCTGTGCTTACTTGTCATTCATATCTTCTCTTTGATGAAATACCTGTTCATGTCTTTTACCCATTTTAAAATTGATTTTATTATTTTTGTAACTGTTGAGTTTTAAGAGTTCTTGTGCTTATTTGAAAAATTGGTTTGTTTTCTTTCTTTTCTTTTCCTTTTTTTTTTTTTTTTTTTGAGACAGGGTCTCGCTCTGTTGCCCATTGCCCAGGCAGCAGTGCAGTGGTGCCTTCATAGCTCACTATAACTTCAAATTCCTGGGCTCAAGTGATCTTCCTGCCTCAGCCTCCTGAGCAGCTGGGACTACAGGCATGCACCACCACACCCAGCTAATTTTTCTATTTTTAGTAGAGATGGAGTCTTGCTCTTGAACTCCTGAGCTCAAGTGGTCTTCCCACATTGGCCTCCCAGAGTGTCAGGATTACAGGTATAAGCCACTGCACCCGGCTGAGAATTGACATTTTAGCTTTACTCTTTCTTTCAGTCCTTGAACACAGTATATTCATTTATTAGATCTTCTTTGATCTCTCTCTCTCTCTCTCTTTTTTATTTTTGAAACAGGATCTACCTCTGTTGCCTAGGCTGGAGTGCAGTGGTGTAATTACAGTTCACTGCAGCCTTGAACTCCTGGGCTTAAGGTATCATTCCCACTCAGCTTCCCAAGTAGCTAGGACTATAGGCGAGCACTACCACCTCCACTCCAGCTTCCTTTGATCTCTTTAATTAGCATTTTGTAGTTTCCAACATACAGATTCTGCACATGATTTGTTAAATTTATATCTAAATATTTCATTTTTTTTTGAGCTATCACAAATGGTACTGTTATGGACTGAATTGTGTCCCCCTGACATTCGTATGTTGAAGTCCTACCCCCTAGTACTTCAGAATGTGACTCTATTTGGAGATAGATCCTTAAAGAAGTAGATAAGGTTAAATGAAGTCATATGGGTGGGCCCTAAGCCAATAGGATTGGTGTCCTTTTTAGAAGAGGGAGAGATACCAGAGCTTTCTCTCTCTCTGCTATATGAGGGCACAGGAAGAAAATGGGTATCTGTAGGCCAAGGAGAGAGGTCTCAAGAGAAACCAAATTTGCTGACACTTTGATCTTTAACTTTCAGCTTCCATTACTATGAGAAAATTACTTTCTGTTGTATAGATACTACAGAAAATTACTTTCTGTTGTATAGACACTACCACTCAGTCTATAGTATTTTTCATGGCAGTCCTAGCAAACTGATATAGGTACAATCTTTACAAATTTCATTTTCCAATTGTTCATTACTAGTATGTTGAAATATGATCATTTTTTGTATATTGATCTCAAATATTGTGATCTTGCTAAACGTATTACTTAGGAGCTTAAAAAAAAGATTCTGAGGCCAGGTGGGTGCAATGGCTCACACCTGTA